GCTGCCTCCCACGTAGAGGAGAGTGGGGAGCAGCAGGCTCAGCCCACTGCAGGAGAACACTGACGGGCCCCTGACCATCACCCACCCTGCATGGCACCAGGCACCTCAGTCAGGACCCAGAGGGCGAGACCCTCACCCTGGACATGCCTCCTCGAGGGGAGCATCACGCTGCACATGCTTCTAAATAGCTAAACTCATTACCGTGGAACCACGCACACACAAGCTACAGTACTTGTTGGCAGGAAAGGGGAAACCTCCACGGTCCTGTAGAGACTCAGAGTAGTGGTGGGCGGGGACTCCCTGCTCTGGGTGGGTTAGGTCTGAGCTAAGGGCTCTGCCTGGGTGTGAGGGTGGGAAGCAGAACTCACACCAAGTCAGGAGAACGAACAGGTCTCCAGGTCCACCGTGACATCAACTCCGTCTTTTGATTATTTATTCTAACTATTGGGGGAAGAGAGATGAAGAGTGTATCTATAAATTTATTTGTCTTGAAGAGAAGCGTTTTAAAAATTAGAAGACCTATTTAAAAGGGAACCAGATGGAATTTAGTAGAACAGATGCCTTTTGTTGTTGTTGTTTAGAAAAGTTCAAAGTGTCGCTGAACTTTGCACATCTCTAGCAAATATATTTTTATATGCACATGGTATGTAGGGAAGGGAGGTCTCCGAGCAGCAAAGCTACGACTGCGTAGAGTCGAGCATTCAAAGGCCTTTGTCTCAATGGGGTGGGAGAATGAGCAAAACCGAGAGACTATGGCAAAGAATCCGTTCAAGTCATTGTCCCAAGACTTGCTGGACGAGGGTTTTCCAGCGCAGACCCTACTCACAGCCTGTTGCTGTCTCACAGCGACTTGGGTTCCTCACTGGGCTCCTAAGGATCCCTTAAGTTCAAACTTACTATCAACGAAGAGAAGGATAAGATTTAAGTGCCTGCGGGAGGGACATTGTGTTCAAAAATCACGCGGATTAGGTCTGTTTTGTGAAGTGGTAAACAGGAAGTCAGGAAGGGGAATTGTGGGAACCAGAAAGACTTCTCTCATGACTTCAGAAACAAATCTAAGGTTTGTTCTTCTCCCCCAAACCATAGTCATACACTGGAGCCTTTAGGTTTGGGTTACAGCTAGACCCTTCACGGCCAGACATCGGGCTTGCAAGGAAAGGAGGGGCTGTCTGGGAGGCCGGTGGAAGGGGGTTGTGGCTGTGGCCGAGGGAAGGGCATTGAGGATGAACACGGGAGAAAGGTCCGAAAGGGAAGGTCGCCTTAGCCTCTGACCCTGAGCAGACAGTGTCGGCTTCCCCATGAGGGCTCTGCCTGCACCCACATCTAGGAGGAGCCGTTTGGCACCTAGATGTCTCGCTCCACCCCAAGACACAGCTTACACCGATGGGAAGCCCTAAGCAGGTGGTTAGTTTTGCACTTGAATGGTACTGTACCTGTCAATCACCGTGACTCGTTTTAAGTGACCTTTAAAATCGGACGGATTTATTGTGCTCGAGTAAATTGCAAGAAGCCAAGTGGGAGCCAGGCTGAGCCCCACCGATGAATGTACAGCCTGTGGATTTGTAAGTGACGGTAGGGAGCCAGAACCTTGTATCTCGTGTTTACAGTTCTGATCGATGTCTTTGAAAAGCCCTGCCATTTTGGAGATGCCCAGTGGACGTGTTGAAATAAAAAGTAAATACCATGTTTAAATATTTCCTAAATGAAAAACATGTGACCAAACAAGTGAAGATCCTCTGCTCTGTGATGAATGACCCCAAACTCAACATGCCTTTGATACACAATGTTTACTGCGAGCGTTGGTCCAGAGATGCAGGAATTGCCAGCCTTCTGGGCTGACACCTTCACGCGTTTGTGGACTTTGTCACTTTTTTCTTCCTGTCCTAAAAGTGCCATACACCACTTAAAGACATTAAAGTGAATTCAAAGTAAACCTGATTTGAGAATTCTATAACCCTTCTGGGGAGCCCTGGAAACAGGAGTGTCATAGCCCAGGCTGCTAATCATGGCTCTAACGACTTGTCCTGTTCCCTTAGCCTGTGGGAAGTGTTAGCCAGGTTCTATGTGGACCCCAACTGGCTTGCTATTCCTTACTAGACTATTCCTTAGAGCCATAAGCAGAATAATAGTACACTCCAAAAGACAGCACACGGGCAAAGTCAGAGCCGTGGACAGTGTGACTTTGCTGTCCTAGTAACCCTGTTGTGGTGGCCGGGACCGGTCGTTTGCAGCTGTTACTGGGACCACGTCTGAAGAAATCGGCCCCCCAGTGTATTTGGTAAGCGGAGCAGCTGCAGAAACAGAGGCTCACCCCTGGTTAGTGTTCGCTGTGCTGAGCTAATCATTCATGGTACACAGCACCACCCTCATTCAAAATAGGAGATTCCGAGGCTAGCAGAGCCTGTTGTGGGACCAGAACCGGAGCCAGGACTCAGGCTCCATTCTTGCTGACAGCAGCCTGCCTACCTCCTTCCCATCCATCTGGGGGGGGGCACCTTCCCATCCTTGTGGGAGGGGCCACTTTCCCATCTT